CGGCCCCAGCCGGGGCCCATGCAGGAAGAAGTCAACCAGTCTATGTCTCCCTCACATAGATGTCTCTCTCGCTCCTTCTCTTCTTCTCTCCCTCTCTTCCTCCCTCCCTTCCTCCCTGCCCTTCTCTATTAAAAAAAAATAATCAATGGGAAAAATATGCTCGGGTGAGGATTAACAACAACAGAAAAATGAAGACTTAAGTCATTTTATGAACTTGTTAAAGATGCAGGTTTTTTGTGTGTGTGAATTTTTCTGAGGGTTCCATCGTGTTCATCAGATACTCAAAATTATTATGTTTCCCAAAAAAGGTTTTAGCCATGATTTTTATTGCTTGGCTTGTTTATTTGGAGTTGAGAGAAGTTTGTTAAATACCAAAGGCTGTTGTTGCTTTTCTTCTTTTGAATCTCGTTCTCTACTTTTAATCATGGACTGATATCGGTGGCAGGAGCGCAAAGCCAAGCACAGAGACGTGAACCCCTGCACCTGGGCTGCGGGCACCTTCGCAGCCGCCACTGCTGCCCAGCTGGCTCTGCAAGGGCCTCACTGGGTGACTTTCCTTTTGAGAAACAGTGAATAGCAGCCTCTGTTTCCCAAGCACTTGGGGGCCTTCCTGTTTCTCTGGGCATTAAATAGACCCCCTTGGACTTCTCCTTCACATTCTCTTTCTTAAGGAAAAAAAAAACTATTCAAATTGCTGTTGCTGTCCTCATGGAGTAGCAATTAGTGCATATGCTAATGAATGGGCCCTGAGGCTCACATTGAAAATCTGACATGCTTTGTAGGTGCTAAATAATACTGTCACAATGCTTTCATTTTCAAACCCTCTTCATTCCATTCTCAGTTTCAGGTTACAGATTACAGTAAGTAGTTAATTTGAGCAAAAGTGCAGACTGCAGCCAAGTACTTTATAGGGGCGAGAAGGGTGAAGCAGGGTCCTCCCATCCAGGGGTGATGCCTCGGGTGCCGGGGTGCCCATGCCTCCGGAGCACCTGTGCCTTGTGGCTCCTCATGTAAAACTGCTAACTGCTCTGTTGGTTTCACACAAACTCTTCTCCTTCTCTCCCCCTTTTTCGCTGCTTCTCTCTCCCTCTCTCTCCCCTCCTGCCCTCCTGCCTCTCTCTCTTTCTCCCACACACAGTACTTTTCTTTCTTGCTCTCACTCTCTCTTTCCTACCACTGCTGTGCATGCTGGCGTTGCAGTCTCCTTATACTCTCCTCTCTCCCCCCCCCCCCCCCCCCCCTCTCCCTTCCTCAGGCTGGCCCCAGAAGAGGCAAAGGAGTCTGCCTCTCCTTGACTCCAAGGGAGGCTACTTTCAAGACTAGCCTTCACCCAGCTCTGGAAAGAGAAGGGTTCAGCAAAAGATCCAAGGCCCTGGCCGCTGGCCCCTCCGCCCAGCCTGTGGGGACAGCCCTGCCTTCCTCCTGGCTGCTCTGCACCGAGGGCCTGGCCTCTCCCCGCTGGTGACCTGGAGCCTCGCCTCCTGGGGAAACCTCTCTGGGCGCAGCAGCTACGGCTCCAACCGCCCTGGCCTTAGTGGGTGAGAGGCCTGTACAGTGGGAATAATAGCACGCAGTCAGGTTGTTGACAGGACTGAATGAGCTCATGCATGGGAAATGCTTAGTGCATGCCTGTAAGATACTGAATATATACACTGTACATGCAGTTACTTCTTTTACTTTAAATTCCCGTCCTCTTGTCCTCCTCCCCCCTTTGGCAACCAGCAGTTTGTTCTCTATCTATGGGTCTGTTTCTACTTTGTTTTGTTTATTCATTTGTTGCTGTTTTCAAGATTCCACATTTAAGTGAAATTACATGATATTTTCTTTCTGTCGACTTACTTCACTCTGCGTGATGCCTTCAGAGCCGGACGGGCACTGCTGGCTTCCAGGTCTGGCTCTAGGCTGGTCTCTGCAGGCCTTGAGGACAGAAGTGACGCCTCACTCACCTCCTCCGCAGGCACGTCCCTTTGTGCCTGGTCAGGCGGGTGGCCAGTCAGTGTTTGCTGACA